AGGGGCATCTTCCCCAGGAAGTCAGTCCCGAGCAAGCAAAGAACAGCAAGGGACATTGACACAAGAACTGTTCCCGTCAATTTGATATCTCCAATACACACATCTGCCGTTATCTGTCCTATGATGCGGCAAAGCATGGAACCCTGACAGGACATAGGGAACGACACTTACGAGGTTAGAATGTTAAAAATCAACTCGGAAATAATACTCACGGATGCACCAGTTCAACGAGCATTCTAATATCAACCCCCTCTATCTTTCCGATAACAGCGGATGAACCCGCGGCCGTGACAACCACTCTATGGGCCCACTCCGACCACTGACCCGGTCGGAGTGGCCAGCCAGCCCGAGCAAAATCTGAACCATCACACGACGGGAATGAAAACCATCTGAATGTGGTGAGTGAGGTGGATTCAAGGGCCGAGTGTGTGGTATGTCGTGACTTGCCTTGGGATATAGTGGAGTTGAGGACGGTCGGGCGGATGATGGCGGTGGTCCGGGGATGCGTCATCATGGCACGCGGCAACACGACAAGACGTGTCCCAGCAGGCCCAGTTGGAGAACACGATGAGCCCGCTCCCAGGATGAGGAAAAGTCTTCCGCCGTCGATGTTGTTCATCCCATCGCACCATGCCATCCCCCCACCAGCCTCCGCCTTGGGCCGAAGTGCAGGCTTGGACGGGCTCCATGTCTTCGGGTGTATCACGCATCTCAAGAGGTATGGTACACGCCGCCAAACCCTTATGTCGTTTCAAAAGCAGGTGCGCCTGGATGCACCTTGCGACTTTGAGAGAAGATATATAATCTTCCTCCATGGCTGGCAGGATGATGTTGAGGTCCTTCGCCAGCATCAGCAATCTTTCGAGAACCATCGAGTCGACTTCATCGTGGTCGATCTTTGGGAAGGCAGCCTTTGCTAGCGCCAACAGTGCGTTGCAGAAGGCGAGGGGCATCTTGGCCTCCTCCCTCCTCCGGCTTTTACAAGGACAGTGGGGCTAGGGGTCCAGGGTCCTAAGCTGGCTGGTCTTCTGGCTTCTGTCTTCGACTGGACCCCGAACCTCTGGAGAGGTTCGCTTATATACACCTCCCCCACCGAGGGGCAGGGCTGCGTGAGATCCTGGAACAGCCCGCAGCCCCCTCCCGTTGGGAGGGGCAGCGGGGGATCCCAGAACACCCCGCAGCCCCTCCTGCTTTTGGGCTGGCAATGCAGCAACTCCCCTGCTGGTACAAGGTACCACCCTTGATGGGCCCTGTCGACCACTGCAGGTAAGTGGGGCCCATCTCAGGCGCTACACTAGTGCCAATAGTGCGCTGCAGAAGGCGAGGGGCGTCTTGGCCTCCCCCCTCCTTCGTGCAGCAAACTTATGGCGAACATTTGATGGCGGGTCGTAAATTGCCTCCATTTGGGCAAAGGCTTGATGAAGCGTGGCCCTCTGCGATGGTGGGATGGTGCAAATCACCTCCGCCTCCGACCATTATGCCAAGTTGCAGTTTGTCTGGAAACAGCACCTGAAGGCCACCCAGTTGCCTACCGTGGCTGAACATTCTTTAACAAACGGTAGACGTCGCCTGAGGGATGGAATCTCGATAGGCAAACTCGGTGAACGTTCAGACTGGTGGGGTCTCCATCGTGCACGGGCTGTGCCATGGAGCTTTCCCGCTGGTATGTAGTCTGCGTTGCGTAAGCATAACCTAACTTGGCCTATCTTCCTGAAAAAAAAAACGTTTGGCCACTTCTGACACCAGTTGTAGTGGGTCCAACTGAGTCGCAGCCATAAACTTTGGAGGCAACGCGTGTTATTTAGTTCCAACACACGGGTAACTTCCCCTTAACAGAATAAAAACCTGAGGTGGTGACCACCTGGCTAACTCCACTAGTTACTACGTAACTGTTACTACGGACCTGGGACCAATAACATCTGCCCAGGTCCACGTGCTGGAAGACTCGTTGAACGGAGATCGTAGACGAAGGGTTTCTTTTCCGGGATGAACAACCCTGGTCCCTCTTGGGACCCGGCTTATATTCTCTGTGGCGTGGCCGGCTCTGCCCTTGGCCACATCCACCTTCCAGAATTCTTGGGAAGGATCTGGGTCCCAATCACAGGACCTTCCCTAGCCCCCTCTTGGGGCCCCAGCTGTCAACTTAATTGGTCACGGCCTCACACAAACCTTACTCTTCGTTCGGCACCCACACACCCTGTCCTGTACAGCCAGCACTGCACTTACAGCATGGTGCCATCCAGTGCTATTACCCAGCGCACACCGTGCCCCTCTAGGGCCGGTACTACACCCACGACATGGTGGTATCCAGCGATGTCGTTACATCGCACACCGTGCCCCTCTAGAGCCGGTACCGCACCCACAGTATGGTGACATTTAGCGATGTCACTACATATGTATGTTGAACTTCTTTTCGCACCATACGAAGCCAACCGTGCTGATCGGAGGTGCGGGAGGGGGGAAGGATGAGAACCATGTCATACTTGCTTGAGAGTCACCTCCGGAAGATCATTTATAATTCAGGCCGGGCGGCTCGAGTAGAAGAGTCATCAGCAATGCAATATGCAGAGGAAGGTTGGGAGTTCAAATCCCCTGGCTGAGGGATCATGGGTTGACGATTCAAGCCCATCATCTTTTCCAGTGGTACTAAAACATAATACGTATCATCTCACGATCGCCAAGGAACCGCAGACCTAGCTGAAAGTCAGCAGCCAGGTGGTGAACCGGTGCTCCAAACAATTCTCCAAGCTCTGTGGTCCTATGTATATTAAGATGCCTTCAGTCAACCAATGAAGCATTTATACACATTGGAGGAAACCGGGGCACTTGGAGAAAACCCCACGCGCGCAAGGGGGGGGGGGGGGAGACGACGACAACACTCTTATCCCATACAGAAGGGACAGGATACAGGGTGCTTCAAAAAATGTTAAACCTTCTGAGAGTTTGCAACAATACCACGAGAAATGTGCATCCGCGCTCTGGAGACCACCTGGAGCAGATTCCAGGCATGTGTTGACAATGATGGCGAACAAGTGGAAACTCTTTTACTTTTTTAAGCTATTAACATTGTATTTGTTATCATGTTACAGTGTATTATCTGTTCTTTTTCCATTAAATACGATAGTCCCATATAAGTGTTAACATTTTTTAAAGCACCCTGTATATGTATTAGTCTGCACTTCGCTGTAACGCCTTCGCCTGGCGGGCCAGGAGGGCATGGCACCTCCTCGACACCCACGGGGAGGTTGAGTTTCACAATAACGTCTGTGTACGGTGACCCACCAACCCCTCGCGGATGCTGCTGCTGCTGCTGCTGCTGCCTCCAGGCCGCCACCTGGCAATGTTTCTTTCACTGTGGTTATTGTTATCATTTTGGCTTGTTTGCTTTGTCCCCACTTGTTATGTCAAATTAACCGCTGCCATGTGACAACGCATTCTCTTGTCATAATATATACTATGCATAGTGTTTCGAGGGGAAATTTACACAGCTAAGGCCCATTCATTGTTGTGAAATGTCAATTGTCCAGACAGATATAAGGTGAGGACTCCGCATTGTCATCATCAACAGCATCAGCAGCAGCCATTGTCTATCCACTGCCGGATCCATGACTCCCCGTGTCATAGCCAACTCCGATTAGCATGGTTGGCTACGTATGGTGCAAAAGAAGTTCACACATACATGCTGTCCCATAGACTAACACTACCCATGGACTCAACACTGCCATATACTCAACACTGCACCTCCGATTAGCGTGTTTGGCTGCGTATGGTGCAAAAGAAGTTCTACACACATACGTACAAATCTCATGGTCCATTTCTGGTGCCATCCATCTTAGCGACGAGGCCTAACAAATGATAAAATAACAATCAACCGGCTCTTCGCCAATCCACTGCCGGATGAAGGCCTCCCCATGCATGCTGCGTCAGACATGGGGGCTGTTTAACCATACTTCACTGTGATTTTCACTGCAGGTTCTGTGAGCGCACGGCCGTTAGTTGAACTCGGGCCACTGGGTTCAGTGGAGTGTGCGAAACCGCCGCTGCTCCCACCACTCCACCCGAGCAAATAATAATTTAGGACAACGCTGAATAATTTAGAGCCCTTTTGTATCCATTGGAGGATGGAGCAACACAGGGATACTTGTATAACATTGCATTGGCACTGTATTAGATTATATCTGTTGATTTACATAGGACAGGGGTCAGCAAACCTGTGGCTCCAGAGCCGCGTGTGGCTCTTTAAAGACTGCAGTGCTGATCTTGAAATTCTAAAAAATAGTTCTTCTTGTTATTTTGGTTGCCGACCCCAGTTCACAGTGGAAGTCCAGTTCACCATGGAAATCCAGTTCACCATGGGAATCCAGTTCACCATGAAAATCCAGTTCACCATGGGAATCCAGTTCACTATGGAAATCCAGTTTACCATGGGAATCCAGTTCACCATGGAAATACAGTTTACCATGGGAATCCAGTTTACCATGGGAATCCAGTTCACCATGGAAATACAGTTTACCATGGGAATCCAGTTTACCATGGGAATCCAGTTCACAATGGAAATACAGTTTACCATGGAAATCCAGTTTACCATGGAAATCCAGTTTACCATGGGAATCCAGTTTACCATGGAAATACAGTTTACCGTGGAAATCCAGTTCACCATGGAAATACAGTTTACCATGGGAATCCAGTTCACCATGGAAATCCAGTTCACCGTGGAAGTCCAGTTCACCACGGGAATCCAGTTTACCAAGGGCAGGGCTCGGCAACCTGCAGCTCCGGAGCCGCGTGTGGCTCATTGAGGACAGCTGCTTCGTGACGTGATTTGTTAAGGACCCACTGTCTCGTATTCACCACCACACTGCACTGCGGCTCTTAAAATATCAAGTTATTTACTTATTTATTTACCGAATAATAAAAAAGGCTTTCCGACTCCCTGACCTAGAAGGAGATTACAAAATGAATTGTCGTAAAAAAGCAAATTGCATTGAAATTTTACTGACCAGGAGAAATCTTCAACAGGTCTTCTCTTGAAGTGCTCGAACTATTTTTCAGATAATTCATGACCCCTTCAACGATTTTCGCTGCCACAACCTAAAAGGCAAAACGTCAGCTCGCATGAACGATACCAAAACAGCGCAACGCCATCAATATTACAGGGCGGTCCGTTTGTAAATACCCCGCTGGTTCCTCTTGGCCCTACCCTTACTCTGTTCCCAACGGCTGATTGGATATTGCGAAAGCGACGGTTCCCGTGTGTTACCGAGGAGGAGTATTAAAAATAATTCAACGAAGCGAATTGAGAATTCGTGGAAGGCGCGTGCGGTCAATTCGACTTCAAATGTCGTTCTCTCGAAAACACTACCGTTGTTTCAGTGGGGCATCTGTAAATGGGTCACCCTGCACTGCGTTACAACTCAAGCGATGGTGTTGTAGTTCATCATCGGCTGCTGCCAGGGCCGTCCCTGCAGTGACACTAATCGAAGGGACAGAGCTCGCACACTGCAACAGAAATTGTAATTGAGGTCGGTCTCTCCGCCTCGATCATTCAACAGCTGACGCCTCAACCACCAAGTGTGTAGCAATCAGGGCTGGACTTGGGAAGAAATTACTGGGGGGGAACTCATAAATGATTCCCCCACCCCCACTAGATCTGATGAGGACAGGGAGGAGCTTTGCTCCATGTGTGGGTCTCTGTGCGTGTCTGTCGGTCTCTGTGCGTGTCTGTGGGTCTTTGTGTGTGTCTGTGGGTCTCTGAGCGCGTCTGTGGGTCTCTGTGCGTGTTTGTGGGTCTCTGTGCGCGTATGTGGGTCTCTGTGCGTGTTTGTGGGTCTCTGTGCGTGCATGTGGATCTCTGTGCGTGTCTGTGGGTCTCTGTGCTTGTCTGTGGGCTTCCGAGCGTGTCTGTGGGTCTCTGTGTGAGTCTGTGGGTCTCTGTGTGGGTCTGTGGGTCTCTGTGCGTGTCTGTGGGTCTCTGTGCGTGTCTGTGGGTCTCTGTGTGTGTTTGTGGGTCTCTGTGCGTGTCTGTGGGTCTCTGTGTGTTGTCTGTGGGTCTCTGTGCGTGTCTGTGGGTCTCTGTGCGTGTTTGTGGGTCTCTGTGTGTGTCTGTGGGTCTCTGTGAGTGTCTGTGGGTCTCTGTGCTTGTCTATGGGTCTCTGTGTGTGTCTGTGGGTCTCTTTGCGTGTCTGTGGGTCTCTGTGCGTGTCTGTGGGTCTCTGTGCGTGTCTGTGGGTCTCTGTGCGTGTCTATGGGTCTCTGTGTGTGTTTGTGGGTCTCTGTGCGTGTCTGTGGGTCTTTGTGCGTGCCTGTGGGTCTCTGTGCGTGTCTGTTAGTCCACCACTGGTAGCAGTATAACTTGTATTGTCTGCGTCGATACTGGAGACACATCGCGGATGACCAAAGTTCCGCTGCCGTCTGGCTTGGGATAAAATAGCAAGCCTCACGAGAGATTCGCTGCTCATTCACGCAATTTAACCAGCGACGATGTGAGATAGCTGGACGGCTCCGAGGTCAGGGCGCTGAGCCAGCACCGCTGAGCACCTGGGTTTTGAACCCAGATGTCAGCCACTCGTGATTAGAAACCAGCTTCTTAAGTGTAGGTATTTTTTATTTTATTTTTTATTTTATTTTACCAGGTAAGGCCCACTGAGCTAAAAAGCGACCTGGCCACAAATTATATCTCAATGAAGTGGCGTATCATGTGGAAATGCATAGGAGCCAAATACTCTAAATGCACGTTTAGTCTAAATGTGGAAGGAAAAACCGGCGGACTCGGAGAAAAATCCACGGGGAAAACACGCAAACTCTAAATATACAGCCATTAGGGTCGGGATAGAACCCACGACCTCCTGTATAGCAGGCCAGGCAGTTATCCTCTTGCCACCAAGATGATTGCCTTAGCCCATTTACCAATTACGGCACAAAAGCCGTGACATTAACTCAGATTTTTCACCTATTGGAGTCCCATCTCTGACACTAAGCAAAAAGAAAATCAATACGCGATGAGCAAACACAAGTTTGCAGGTCAATTAAAATGCGTGCCTCTAGTGTGGCTCATGAAGCCCGTCGATGGGACTTCAGATGCATTTCTTCCTTCGTGCGGCTCATGCAGATGCAGAGCAACGACTTTCAATGTCACATTCAGGCGGTCAGGCCAGGTAACCGCGTCAGGAGCAGCGGAGTGTATCATCACTCTGATGTCTCCTTCATATTTGCGGATTGGGCATTGCATGGTTATAGGATGCTATTAGCATGTACGATGCTATATAACATTATTAAAGTATTATTCTTCTTCTTGGTTCTTTCGGTAAAGTCACGTAGAAGGGAAGTAATACAATAATAAAAATAAAACATAATAAAATGATATAATAATATAATATAATGACTTTACCGAAAGAACCAAGAAGATGAATCCCTGCAGTCACGATAGCTTTAAATCTAAATTTAGTATTATTATTGTTATACGGTCTGTTCTGGATGACCACAGTCGCTCACTGGAGAGTTTTTTTTGTTATTTTCCAGTTGTGCATCAAGTATCTGCATCTACTGCCCTGGTTTGTGCAGTGGATGCGGTTTAGGGTGGACCATGAGCTTTGTGGATGATCTTCTGCGTTGGGTCTTTCACAAGGTATTCAGACGTACTGTCGTTCTTTGACGTAATATTCCGTGATGCACCTCCAGTTACAGAGACCTGAACGGAAATGCACATCTCCAATGGCGACGTGAACACCGATGGCACAACAGGAATCGAGAGTGAACAAGCCAATGGAGAAGCGCCGTACCTGTGAGTTCAGGTCAAGGTGCTGCTGGTCAGACGTCAAGTCGTGCACCGAATTTATAACCTCAGCGGCGTCGTTCGCCGTGTGGATCTGGGAGGAGGCGTTGTAGATCACTTGCAGCAAGGCGTATGTCACCTGCAAAAAGAAAGACATGTAGACCCAGGCTCGGACTGCCCGTCCACAAACACAATAGAGCACCTCTACCGGTTACAGGGTGCTGCGGTGGTTAGGAATTGTTATCTCCCTCGCCTGGCATGCAGGAGGTCGCCGGTCCGATCCCGACCCATTGACGTCTGCTGTGTATTGGGAGTTTGCGTGTTCTCACCCCGTGGTCGTCGCATGTTCGTTCGCCGAACGGAAGCCAACGCAGCTCGGCGAGATGCCGAATTGAAGCGGCGACCTCTGGATCCGAAAATCGCATTGCGGCAGCATCCACGCGAGACTTGACACGTGAACACATGTATTGTCCTGATTAATACGCGGGGGGGGGGGGGTGTTTGTTTGTCTATCTGCCTGCTTGTTTTTAACTCACTTGTTGCTTGTATCCGGATGAGACGTTCTGACTCAATGAGACGCCTGCCACGCGCACCAGCTGCAGGGTCCTCTGGTAGTCCTGGTCGGCCACGAGTGTGTCTAGAGTCCCGCCCGGAGACACCAGCTCATTCAGAGTGACCTCCAGCTGATCTGGCGGCAGCGCGGACACCTACAGCAATCACAAAACAAAGATTCCCCCGCATAGCCTTGAACAGACTGTTGGGGCAAGTGCTGTAAGCGAGTAGCACCTATGAAGGCCGGCACGGCACACTAGGGGGTGGGTAGCCAACGCCATGCCCGGCCGCCTTTGTCTCCCTAAGTGGCGATGTTTACACATGTTAGCCTGAGTCGACCTAGAGGAGTAGGCTCAGGACCGGTTCAGACAATCGTCACTGGTGTTGGCCGTGAGCGGGGATCGATCTCGGGTGGCTGGGTTCGTAGCGCAGCGTGGCGCCAACGATGCTATACTACCGCTCTGGTGGCAGAGCCAACACCTAAAGCGATCACACGCACGTGCGCGCACACGCTTTGCATCGCGATGCAAGATGCGGTTGCACCCGAGTCAACAGCCGCACGGCTCACAGCGTTATACCGAATAAATTAAACTGAAATGTGCCGGGTATCTGCGCGCGTCGCGGTTGTGCGTTACGGCTCTCCGTGCGTTATTTGGGCGGGCGGGGGGAGTTCGAACCGCGTGCGTCGCTCGGCCACGACGTCCGACGTTTTTCGCTTCCGAGTGCTGCGAGCTTCTTCATCTGGGCCGCGTGATACGTGGCGGCGCATGGGGGCGACCCCGCGGAAAACGCCGGAGAGTGCGACGCAGCGCTCTGCCATTGTTCTCGATTGGCTGCTGGACGGGGGCCTCTCTACACACGGCCCACGTCGTGCGGGGGGCTATGTGGCCACACTTCGCCACGCTAGGTCAGTGCGGACTGGTGAATGCAGGGAGTGCAGCCCCACAGCAGCCTTTAACAATCTGTACTATGCATGGCGGTCGCCTTACCAAACATCATCCGTGAGGCTAAGACGGGCTTTGTTAAACAATACGCAATGTTAGCTCTCGAGCAGCGGTTCTTAACCTTTTTTTCTCAATTGTAAAAAAGATATGTATGTTAATAAATACGTAGGGTTGGATGAAACAAAGTACGTTGTGCTTACGTGCCGCGTGCTTAATTTGTGTTTCGATGATTTACCTTCTAAAAAAATATCTGCCCATGTCTCGCATCCCCAGAAAGGGCATCTCGCATCTCCGGTGGGTGCGTGCACCGCAGATTAAGAACCACTGCTCTAGAGTAATAACTTAATTCTCAGTTCTCACAGCCACAATGAAGCTCTGATCTCCAGATTGAGGATTATTATGATTATTTGTCATTCTGTTTATCCCCAACATGAGAATAAGACATACTTAGGGTCCTGTGTCAATGCCGGATGATGAAAGCGCTAGACTGATCTATAATTAGAAATCGCTTCAGCACACTTAAAAAAACACATCTTCCAGGGAGGAGTGGTGCTATTTGCTCACACAAATTTGCGGTTGTCTTGATGGATTGGCTGTCAGCTTGTGTTATACTCGGGACAATAGCAGCCGCTCAAGAGATGGATTAGAAGACATTGCCACCTCATTTATAGAATAATGATATTAATCATAACAGTGGCCCTTATTTAAGCTAAACTAATTTTAATTTTACCAGGAAAGGCTCACTGAGCTGTACAGCTCTTTTTCAGAAGCAACCTGGCTATTATGAATGATAGTTAAACAATGTGGCTCATCATAATATGGAAATATATAGACGCCAAATACTCTAAACGCCCGTTCATTCTAAATGTGGAGAAGAAAAACTAGAGGACCTGAATAAAAATCCACACAACCACGGGGAGAATATGCAAACGCCAAATATACAGACATCAGGGTCGGGATTGAACACACGTCCTCCTGTACACCAAGCGAGGTATTCAATATCTCGCCAGGGAAGTGCTTTTCGCATTGTGTATCCGTGTGTACTTTGTTCGTAAGGCATGTTTCACAATTGTGTATCCGTGTGTTTATCACGGCAGCATGGCACGGACATTCCCGGTGCACACGCACAATTTCTCCTGCACGATATCCATGCTGCAGCCCGCGCCTCCCGGACCCCCCCCCCCTGCCACCGCCCAATCCTGAAGGCTGCAAGCTGATAACCTGCTTACGCAATCGTAGCAGTGTTACAATGCATTTAACCAATCAAGCTGTTAAACCGCCGTTGACACCTCGATTGCCATGGGGAATTCAGTGCAGCTGCCGATCGGGCCTGCACACGAAAACGGAGACTTGGAGGATATCGCCGGCGCCACCACCACCGCCCGTCGCTTCTCCCGCCGGCAGCAGCAGCGCCGCGCTCTCCCTGGCGCCGCTGCGAGAAACGACGAGGTGCCGCTCGCCGCTGTGCGCCACCACGCGATAGAGCAGGTCGGAGGGCGCGGCCGCATCACCGCTGAGCCAGCCCTGGCACAAGAACTGGAACGCAGTGCTCAGAGCCACACCTGCAGGAACAATCGGGCCACGCACAAGTAGCTGTGGTTAGTTCAACAAAGGCGGACAGAATCAGACTCCTTTACGCTTCGTACCGGAGTAATCCGATGAGCTACGAAGCTCTTCTTGCAGATGTCCAGCGACGACGACGTGCTCGTGAACCAACGCCGTGGCCCCTTTTCACATCGCGCGTGAAAACAGAGGCAGATTTTGATTTGAAGCTTTCGTGACTGCAGCAATCCATACTCTTTGGTTCTATACTCTTTGGATCGCAACACAAGTGGTGTGTTGCGATCGAAACGTCGTGATTTGTTTCATTTTATTTCTAACTACGTGACTTTACCGAAAGAACCAAATAAAACAGAGGCTGGAGTAATAGAGCTTGATAAAGAGAGTTGGAGACTGCGCTTCATGGTATGGGGGCCCTGGTGAGAATGACGTCTAAAAGAAATGTTTCTGGATTGACATAATTTGACATAGGATTGTAGTACATTTACAGCCGGTTTGTCAATCGGCCGACTGCTGGATCAGAGCTTCCCCCACATTGCGTGGGTTGTAGGGGTTATACGACCATACTTGACCGTGCCGGTCCGAGTGGCAGCACAGACGAGGTAGCGCAGAAGTACAATACAACAATGCACTCTGCTCTCTCCGACCTCCCGCCGTCCACCACGTAGCGCCGCAGCCACCTTCTGCAACCTGGCATCTACTAAGCAGCACCTGGGCTCAACCCTCCCTCGATTTTGCGATCTGACGAGGTTGGGCACGTTCCGGTTGATTCCGGTAACAGCCACGTGGTACATGGGTGATGTGCAACTTGGTTTAACAATGATACGGGCGCTTAATTCTCCTTCCCAGCAGGGCCCTGCGTCAACTGGGATGTCTGGCCAAACCCATGAATGAGTGTTTGGAACGTGAGAAGGGTTTGCTGCACAGGGATACGGGCCACTGGGGGGATCCCCTTGGCTAGACGGCGGTAGGGCATTGCAATGCTTTGATACCCATAGAGAACCCACACATACAAGGGGGGGGGGGGGAGCGCGATACACTTAGAAACATGCATTGAGATTACTTAGATTATACTTGCCGCTATAAATGTCCATATGATGAGCCACTTTGTTAAGCCATCACTTGTCACCAGGTCGCTTCTGAAAAATGAGTTAATACCTCAGTGGGCTTTGCCTGGTAGGATGGGGATGGTTTAGTTGTATTTGTATGGGTTTTGCTGATTTGGTTAGCTTTCTTGTACTTTGCACTGCTATCGTGTTTTTGTACTGTTTGTTGTTGTAACTTTCCGATCCCGTGCCCCTACTGGACATCTGTGAAAAAGGGCTTTATAGCTCACCGGATTCCTCCAGTATAAATAAATATTCTGATTCTCTATCCAAAAATATCAATGTCTGTACTGGCATCTCCTGGCCATACCTCGCAGTTCAAGCCTACATCACCCCGTGTGTATGTGAGAAACACAGCCAGTTGTCCCATGCAAGTACAATCCAGCCTCCAGCCTGCTTAGCTTCTGAGATCTGATTAAATCAGGCGCATTCAGGGTCGGGATTGAACCCACGACCTCCTGCTTATGAGGCGAGGTCGTTAACATTTCGCGACAGCGGCGCCCAATCAATGATGTAATTGATGGAAATGGCCAAAGATCCAATGACGTGCCCTCCTGAAAAAATGGCAACTTGAGACTCATGAATAAAGGGCATTATTATAATTACTACCATAGTGGTCCAGTTTATGAAATGGCTAAATTGACTTTTGGTCCCGATTGGATGATCTGCGCATTGTATATATGGAGTTTGTGTGTCTCTCTCCCCGTGGTCATGTGGATTTTTCTCCGCGTCCTCTGGGTTTTCCCTCCAGTTTAGAGTCAACATCATGCCTTTAGAGTAGTGTCCTTGATTGCAAGGTCCCCGGGCCACTGGCGGCCTCTGGTGGCCTTTTAGTGCGACCCCTGACGTGCGGCCCCCCGACAATACGCAAAGAGTAAACATACCCCCATCATGATCGTCATCGTACTGTCACAAACCCAATGGTTTCAAATGTGTGGTGGCCCTCACACTGATGATGTCTTATCGGTGAAAGTGCCCCCCACCCCTTCTTAAAATTAGAGAGTATTTGGCCGCTATAAATGATAAGCCACTTCGTTGAGCCTGTCATTCGTGGCCAGGTCGCATCCAATAAAGAGCTAAATAGCTCAGCGGGCCCTTAGCTGGTAGGCAAAAAAAGTTTAACAAATAGTTTAATAGATTTGAAGCTTTCGTGACTGCAGGAATCCATAATCTTTGGTTCTTTCGGTTTCGATCGCAACACAAGCGACCGTCTTTAGCTGAGCTGAAGATGGTCGCCTAAAGACGGTCGCTTGTGTTGCGATCGAAACGTCGTGATCTATTAATTTTATATCCAAGTGAGTTTACCGAAAGACCCAAAAAGTATAGTTCAATAGATATTCTGTATTTACCCGATGTGGGTTGAACAGCGCAGGTGCCACCGTAAGGAGGGCGCGTTGCTGATGTCCACATCTTCGATTGCCCAATTTGACCTCTCTTCCCTGAAGCCTCGACCGTGAGCTCGTACCGCCCCGCTGCAGCCAAGCTGTCCGCGTTCACTTTGAGGACCGATGCCTTCAGAGATATACAAAGACAGACGAAGAAGAAGAAGAAGCGTTAGAAGCATTTAAACAACAAAGCCCTTTCCTCACGTGACGTCGTAAAATGAGGGGAAACGGATTTATCTGACGCCGATAATAATTGTTCACAATTGGTTTCTTATTGCGTAGATCGCGGTGGAGTTATAATATAATTTTTTTACGATAACTCTCCACCACCCAGCGGCAGAGCCAATGGACTCAAATTGTTCCATGTCCACGGGCAAATCCGTGTGGCCCCCCACAACATTTATTTGTTTTTTCAGCAAAAACGCGAGGAGAAATGTTCGAAATGTGAAGTTGGCAGATCCGAGCTGCTGTTTGACACTTGAAGATGCTGGGCGTAACCTCGAGCAAGACGTCCAATCAAAATTGTCAAAATGTTGCTCACTTTTCAACATTCCTCCTCTGACAAACCAAATCAATTGGCACGTTTACCCACGTGACAACCTGATGGTTATAGTTATATTTGATATCATACCCTATATGATCTCAACCAAAAATAAACTAGTCATGAGTGATAATATTGGGTCGTGAAAGCCTGCACTGCAAAAGTAGTTTAAATATATCAAGTCGTTTAATCAGTGTTCACTTAGCAAGGCAATGGATGTCTCAATTCTGAGCGAACCTCGAACACAAAACTCCCAATGATTAATCAATTCATCCATGACAAATAAAATGATCTGGAGTTTGAATTCATTTCCAGCGTTGTGGGATGCAATTGCTTGAATGACGCTATATAAAATGAAATTATTATTAATTATTATTGAGCATCGGAATACAGTCACACCTCTCTGGACGCCACGTAAAACACTGTGGTGGTCACGATATAACAGCTTACAGTACAATACGATACATGGTGATTGCGCCAAATACTATTCAATACCACATGGTGATGATCGCAATACTATTCGATATGACATGGATATTATCATAATACTATTTGATACATGGTGATTATCGCAAAACTATATGCGACAAAGTGATTACCGCAATACTAGTCGACACGACATGATGATTCTCGCAATATTATTCAATATGCCTTGGTGATTATCGCAATGCAATTCAATAAGACACGGTGATCATCGCATTATCAGTTTCCAATTACTCCGTCATGTGATACGGACGCAAGACACGAAGGGAGCTGTCCCTTGCTCGCTGTTTTGTGAGCGGCACACCATGGCGCGTGGAGTCTATTCCTGTACTCTATAGCGTGAATAAGCATTACCTACAGACACATTCAATATCCCGTGTAAACATTACTGAACGTTTGCACAGAAACGAAACGCCTCAATTGTAAAACGACGCCTCCATCTTTATAATTCAACAAAGGAGATGAAGCCAATTTGTAAAATTACAGAGGCTCATTATCCTCCTATTACACGCATATATAAACTGTCGATGAGGATCGCAGACAAATTAATGATGGTCAATTGAGAGACGAACCAACAACCAGGGAAAGTTGGTTTTATATATTGTTGCTATCTTTAGCCCCACACTTGGCTATGATATTATTGCAAGGAAAACATAATTTGAAAACACTGCGCCCATTATGCCTAAATGTGGCAGACTGCTGAAAGGCATTTCACTTGGTGGAAACCGATGAAGTAACTCATCGAAGCCCTCACAAACCAGGCCTTCGTTCAAGTTGCATCGCATGCACGCATGCACATTATCAAATACATTTATGAAGACGACCAAAAGAGGAGTTGGGCAAGGTGATATCATCTATTCACCGAGGATATTCAGAGCAGCACTTGATGATATATATTGAAATATAAACAAGCTCACGCCTCCTGTAAACCACGTGACTTGTGTTCGTGGCCGCCCCCACTCTAAACCTTTCTCCACTCATCTATTGACCTCTTTCCCTGTATCTAAATCAGCTCAAGCTTCCCGTGAGTCACGTATCTATACATCATCTATCTATCTACACCATTCAAGCCTCCAGTAAACCGCGTGACTTCTGTGCGTGGCCACCATCACTCTGAACCCTCCCCCTCTTCCCGCCGCCACTCGCTGTGAGAATAGATGCTGCTTCCTCCGTGCGTCAATGCTCTGATTTAGCATCTTCCTCCCTCTCATCTCTCCTGCACCCGCTGCTTCTCCGTTCCTATCCCATACATTTCTTTGTCACGCGAATTCCGGTGGTTATCCTCGCAGCAGCAGAGACTTTTGGCAAAGCCATCGCGTGCCGTCTGGAATGCTCTTCCTTCTGATATGAGGAAGCCACAAGGAACTCTGCACTTTTAAATCATCTAGATTGAAAATACATTTCTTTAGAACTGATTTTTGTATTTAGTTTGTTGTCCTTCCCCCCGCACCTTTGATTAGCATGGTTGGCTACGTACGGTGCGACAGAAGTTCAACATACATACAATATATGTATTCATTGATATATAATTAATATTTTTACGTTTAAACATAATCTATATTTATGACCCCAATCCCTATTATCCTCATAAGCTGTAAGTGTTAATATTCGAGGATTTCATATTCGCGTTGTCCTCCAGTAACTTATCCCACGCAAATATTAAGGCTTTACTGTATTGGAGAAATTATGAAAACAAATAGAAGATCGACCCAAGCTTTAAGTGTTCTGATACTTGAATTGGCTTTGTACTGTTCGCCTTTTAGCGTTCTCTGGTCTGACACTGATGAGACTAGGCCATAAAGAAGGCTGCTGTCTCTGGTGTAAGCCTATAACTTTCAAAGACAATGCCAATACATTATTACAAGACCATGTTTAATCTTGATTTGAAGCTTTCGTGACTGCAGGAATCCATGCTCTTTTGTTCTTTCGGTAAAGTCACATAGGTATAAAATAAAATAAATCACGACGTGTTGCGCCCAAAATGATGGACGTTTGTGTTGCGCCCGAAACGTCGTGATTTTTTAAAATCTACATGACTTTACCGAAAGACCATGTTTGTTTACATGTTTTGCCACAAGTATGTGTGGTTAATACACTTGATGCCTTGCAAAAGGTATCTATTTGATTTTTGTTAACACCATCTTAACACCGCCTGTTTTATTGCCAGAAAGGGTAAAACCTATTCTTATTTTAAAAATAAATTTTGAGACTGGCAAAACAGTCCCATAGATGTATTGGAGAAGTAAAATTATAATAATAACATGATACACAGTAATGTCGTAGGGGAAAATATAAACACCCGAAGGATAAAGTCTCCTACCACTTTGTCGAACAAGGGAGCCCCGGTCAATGTCGTACGCCGCGGTGTCCGTGTTGAACTGCCTCAGTGACCACGAGTAGGAGATGTCTTCACCTCTGGCGCAGCTTGGAGCACTGGGCCACCGCGTAGAACGTCGACGTTGGATCAATCTTCTCGTTGCAGTTTTCCAAACATCTATGCGCGCACACACACACAGAAACACAGCAATGAGGACAATCGCACGGTAGTTAGAGAGCTGCTGTGATTCTTCTTCAAAGTCAGCAATTGACAGCATCTCGGGGACTTGGTGTGTCCGATGAGCACGGTTGGCCGCGTATGGCGTGAAAGAAGTTCAAAGCGCATCTATCACGGACTCATTTAGCGACACCCACACTCGACCCTACCGAACTGCTGGGTTGGACAGGTGGTGGGAGATTAAAGAACCTTGCAACGTCATTTCAATTGCAGCGCCAGGAGATGGAATCGAACCGGCGCCCTCTGGATTGCAAGTCCAGCGCGCTGAACATCAACAGCGCAGTGGAAGAATTCTGCCGCCTTTGTATTTCAATGTAAAATCAACTCACTTAATAAACTCATATATAAACTCACATCGCATTGAGCACAAATCTAAACACCCTCAACCACAACCACATCCATTCGTGGTTGCCAAGGGGTTAAACAGATATAGTCGGCCGACGTTTCAGGCAAAGTATCCTTCTTCAGACATCGATTGATTTGTCGTTGGATGATCGTCGCGTCGCGGCACTCGCTGTGCCGAGTGCGTGAGTGCGCGTTCCCCCCCGCCTGGTCACCTGATGCTGATCTCCAGAGGCGTCCCTTTGGTCACATTGATCGTCTGCTCAGACGTCACCACTCTGCTGCCCGATGACGCCACGAGACGCACGTAGAATACGGAGCTCGCCACGATGGAGGCACCCGGCAGCCGAAAGACTCTGCGCCCAACGGCCTGCGCCCCGACGCAGGCCGAGGCGTTGGCCACGGCGAATTCGAGCGTGGCGTTCGTCTTGCAGGACCAGTCATAGGCGACGCCGCTCACGGCTGCGGCATCTCCTGAACTTGACACCGCCTCCACCAGGACGTCTCTCCCCTCGCCCACCAACCTGTAGTGACCTCCAGACAGCTGGACATCCAGCAGAGGCTCCTCGAACCTGAGGAAAATGGGCTCGCTCACGCTCTGGATACCGGCGAGGGAAATGGTGGCGGTGACCGTCAGCCGGTAAGAGCCCAGAGGGAGCTGGTTGGGCGCGAACACGATGGTGAGCGTGTTGGAATTCCCAGAGTAGGACCGGGTATCATTGATCTGCTTCGCCGTCCACTTGAGACTCATGCGCATGCCCGACACCACACAACTCCTTTGCACGTCCACTGGCAGGCTGAGGCCGTCCGTGATGCGCACGACCTTGGGCGCCTCCGCAGCCTTTGCGTCGTCCTGAATGGTCACTGCGCCGAGCTTGCAGCCGAATCTGTTCACGGTCACGTTCATGCTCTGGCTGGCACTGGATATTACGTTGGTCGCGTTCACCGTGGCTGTGAACATCCGCATTTGCTTGTAGGTGAACTGGAAAGAGCCGGACTTGTAGTCCAGTGTTTCGTATTGACACGACGGGCAACCGTCCTTGCAAAACATGGGCCCTAGGATCAGGTTTTCTCCATTTCCCATGTCCCATCGGAAACAGACGGGACCACCCGGCAAGTTGGCAACTGTAATTTTGACCTTACCATTCACGCTCGTCGGATCATAATCTATCTCGGGTGTTTTCAGCGCCTTTAAGCACGCGAGAAGTTCCAGCCGCAGGGAAATCCGACCGTGCCACGCCACTGGCATGACTCGTATGCCGGACGCCGGCACGGTCGTGTTGAAGAGCAGACTCCGCTCCGTCGTTCCGTCAACATTCCCGGCAAAAACCTACAGGCGTGGGAGGCAGTGGGGACAATGATATCACGGTTAGGAAAATGCTTCGTCAGTCTCCGCTTGTCATTGCAATCCAACACGCTGTGTCAACAATGAGGAACCTCCATCACGACGGTGAGATGCGTGCAGGCTGGAATAAAACGATAAATAACCATGCGGCAAGGTATCCTCTCTCTTAGTTGGTGGTCTAAATGATAAATAATGAAAAATAACATGACCACACGGCAGAGGTCGCAAACGGGTTTTGATTCCTTACCCGTACCCGGCTGCACCAGGGTCGCAAACGGGTACCCGTACCTGGCCGGGTACGGGTAGCCGGGTATCGGGTAGGGTACGGGTACCCAATTGCGACCTCTGCCACACGGTACAGCTCTTTTGAGTCTTCTTGGTTCTTTCGGTAAAGTCACGTAGAAGGGAAGTAATAAAATAATAAAAATAAAACATAATAAAACAATTCTCACGACGTTTCGGCCACAACGCAAGCAGCCGTCCTCAGGTGAAAACCAGGTCTGTCGAGGCGACAGCGTCTGAATGAAACAGCACACGTGCTTGGAGCATATATATAAGCTGGGTTGGAAGGGGGGAACAGGAGCGCCTTGACAAAAGAATATGCATATCAAGAGGCATTTATGCATATTCTTTTGTCAAGGCGCTCCTTTCCCCCCCCCCCCTTCTAACCCAGCTTATATATATGCTCCAAGCACGTGTGCTGTTTCATTCAGACGCTGTCGCCTCGACAGACCTGGTTTTCACCTGAGGACGGCTGCTTGCGTTGTGGCCGAAACGTCGTGAGAATTGTATTTTATTATGTTTTATTATTTTATTATTTCCCTTCTACGTGAGTTTACCGAAAGAACCAAGAAGATGAATCCCTGCAGTCACGAAAGCTTTAAATATAAATTTAAAATCTAGATCTTGAGAATGATATATCAGCATGGGTTGGAGGGAAAGTGCCGCTCCTGTACCATTCATGTTCTGCTGGAATGTGCACTGATGCGATATTAGCACGTAAAATATAGTTTGATGGATTGATCGCCCTGTGCTGTGCAAACCAGAGGTCAAGTGACGTTATCTCAGCGGTAGCTCTGCGGTATCCACATCCCATGGGCCGTTCTGGAACACAAAGGGTTGTTGCACTGCCATGCGAGGTGAAGAAGAGCCTCATAGCTCATCGGATTCCTCGAGCCTAAAAAAATCTGATTCTGAAATGGATTCTTAGTCTCGTGCCACGACACCAATCGCACAATCGGCATAACGATTACGCGAAACAAAATATTGCAGGCATATTCTGACAACGCCGTTCATTCTCGCCTCTCTCATCGGTAAGCAGCACCATCTGCCCATTACCTGATTTTCACCTTTGGCGTCAAGAGGCTTCCATTGTTTTCCATCTGCCCTCAGGACAACCACCTGGAACTCCGTGACCCACGTGTTGTTACCGGGCGCACCCTGCAGGACCAAGCCGCTGATGGGAAACGACACGCCAAGGTCGACCTGGAGGTACTCGCCGGTCCGGTCGCGCCGGGGACTCCAGCTCCCCGCAGCGTTGTTCAGCCTCGCCGAAGGCGCCCCGAGCCCTGCTGCCGAATTTTCTGAGGTGGCCGTGAAGGCTGAATCTGGAATAAACCCCGACTGGAGTCCAACGGGAATCAAGCAATCTGAAAAAGATGAAATGGAGTAGACGGTCGCGTTGTTAGGGCTGGACGCGCGTACGTTGAACCTTTTTCGCACTGTACATAGCCAACTGTGCTCATCAGAGGTGTGGATGGTGTTATGATCAACATATCGCACACCAGGTAAGATGTTCACGAAGTCACCACGGGCAATGCCACTGACAACGTCACAGCTTCCCATCTCTCCGTTACTTCCACCAAATCACGGAGTTGTTGAGTGCTCTCCTCTTGCAGTAACCACGCCGTCTATGTGTGTATATAGAACTTTTTTCGCCCCATACATAGACAACCGTGGTAATCGGAGGTGTGGATGGCGTTATAATCGGCAGGGTAGTGGTAACGGCCGCAGGGTCATTGCCGGGCGGCGGCGGCGGCTACACTGCTTCTGCTGCACATGGCTGCCCTGTGTGCCAGTGCCGTGGAGGCAGCAGCGAGGGTTGGTGCATCACACAGATAAGTTGCAAAACTCCCTTCCCGTGGGCGGCAGGGAGATGCCAGGCCCTGGCTTTGCGAGGATAAAAGCTGTGCACCAAAAATGTGGACTAATCTCCCTTTGTTCCATCTGTACAGGGATAGAGCATTGCCCCTTCGCGCGGCGGGTTTTCTCTGGGCGCTCCGGTATCCTGCCCACGTGCAAACACTCATTTATTGGCCGATAATGCCTTAATATGTAGGGGACCGTAGAGCTTTGGGCAACTGTTGGTAGTGCCGGCTCCTCACTACTTGGCTGCTGCCCTCCCACGTGTCTGCGGTTCCTCGGCGACTGCGACAGATGCAATTTTGCACGAACGACGACGCGATGTACCAAACGAACAAAACAACAATTAATTTGGTACGTCACATGACCACAACACACTTTACCTGTGCTGGGCGTGCTACATAAACTTACGACCAGTTGTGTGAAAAAGTAAGCGTGTTTTAACAAATTAATTACAATCGAAGTTATTTTTTATAATCTTCTTAGAATGATCAGTTGGAAATGATTATAATTAGGATCTGATAGATTTTTTTCACCATATGAATCTGGGGGCCGGCCTTCAGCGACTTGGGGGCCCGACGTTTGTCTTTGAGCCTTGCCTCGGCCTAGCATCGCAGCCGCGTAGTGTTCAGTCAACTCTGCAATGAGGCAGTTTCTGTATAGAGACGAATGGTCTGTCTAGTCTATGGAGTTGGTTGGTGAGTTCGTGAAGTCTGCTTCAAAGCACTCTGTTGCGATTGAAGATGACGTTTATAGACACTGTGACTTTCAGTAGCGGTGGGGACACTGCTTTTTGTGTTAAGTTGTCTTTCCCCAGTTATCCGATCATTTATATTGTGGGTTTTAATTTACGAAACTGTACGATGGCAAAGAAACAGAAGCGTCGTGTTTGTTTTACTTTAAATCAGGATTTTTCAAACCTCTTTAAGTAAATGTGTTTTTGTATGGACTTTTGTAACACAACAAGATCAATACATTTTATACTACAAATGTTTGTTTTGTTCATTAGCAAACAACATTTTCTTAACTTAAATATAATTTATACCTATAGTGATTTTTGGCATAGAGATCCGCAGAAAATGGTTATGTTTTTGGATGATCTGCGATTTTTAATTATCCGCAGCCGTCCTCCCCATCATTAGCACAGAAAATGGAAAGTCTAATCGAGAGTCCCTCATGGCCTTGTAGGAGCCTTGGTTCGTTTTCAAGTCAGAAGACGAATCGATAAAGTTTTTCTTTCGAATAGAAAGGAAAACTGATGATGTACACGTACGTCATCCAAATGCCAAAGGGTTAACAAACCATTAAATTGAGGTAGTTATGGCGTTCAGATGTCAGAGTGCTGAGCTAGCACCGCTGAGAACCTGGCTTTGAATAATCAAAATCACTTAATTGGGAAAAAAATACTTTGTAACATCGCCCTTACTTGCAAGTTAATGTGCATGCGCAAGGCCGGTGCTTGCTGCATCGGGACAGCTGCCTCCAGCAGGGCAACTAGAATGGTTGAGGTGACATGTCAGGTGCTCACAGTTGTCCAGGGTATTAAAGCGCTCGTTTTCAATTGCAAAATCGAGATCCTCACATTTCTAATCACTCCCTTGCGAATGTTGGAAATAATTAATTACTTCGATTCGTGGAATAATAACATTTTCCCACGTCTCTCCCCCCAGCAATGGAGATCATGACTCTCAATGTGGGTCTCATCTACATCGCTATGTTCTGATCGAGGAAAAAATGTGGCGCCATGACTGTTTTAGCCGGCGTGCAAAATGCACGCGAGTACACTGACTACGTGGGCCGAAACCTAGACTTATCATCATGTGTCTGTCCTCACAAGTATTAGATGTACGGAAGAGATCGGTAGTGGTCATGGCAAAATATTTTTGGTATGTTTGTACGAGTCTCTTTTAATTACTGTTTTTTTTTAAATGTGCAATTGTATGAGCAAACCTTTGATCAATGTGGCCGCCCTCCACTCGGGTAACTCCCGAAGAGCAACGCAACTTCGTACCACAGTGTCATGTTTATTGGGTCATCATCCTGAGGCGTTACAGGCAGACAGAGAAACCTACGCATGAGCAGACTGAGAGAACGCGGCCGCGCTTTCAACCTGCGTCGATACTTTGGTAATGTTACTCACCTGACAGGGTCCAACCTTCGCCCGCTGTGCTCCACCACTGGTCTTTGGTTGTTGAATTCGGACTTGAATTGGTTGTTGAATTCGGACTTGAATGGATCTGTCCATTGTTACCCACATTCCCTTGCCCATTCCCATTCCCAACAGCATTGCCGCTCTTCCTTCTCACGCGTCTCGAGCCAGGTCTTCTGCCGCCTCGACAATTCCGGCACCTGGCCCCAGGTGACCGTTGCTCCTCATCGCGGCCCAAACGGCCCACTAACCGTGGCTGATAGGCAGTGGGTACATTTTTGGGTTTGTCGGCCGATACATTCAGTGGATCGTTGCTCTCTAACCCCAGAAGTGGCGCTTTGCCATTTCCCGGTGATTCTTGTCGGATGGCTTCTGATGAAGTCTGCTTCTGGCCACCAAGGAAACCTTGGCCGATGGACTCTGTTGAGCGTTTCTCGTGGCCTTGCGGTAGATGTTGACTGAGGGGCAATGGAGAAGAGGACTTCGTGGGGTTCTTTTCTGAGCCATCTTTTCCAATGTCACTTGCCAGCAGTAAACAACCTAAAATTGAGAAATGGATGATCAAAATCAACATCGTGGTCTCTCCCGTGTGCACCACATGTGATAAACTCACCATACGTGGAGAATGTGAGAGTCTAGTGAGTGGTGAGTTTGTCTGGTCAGTGTCTGGTTAGCTGTGGAGTGCCTGCCGAGTGATGAATGTCTCTGAGGCATCACGTGAGTGGTGAAGTTTATATGAGCGGTGAATGCACGGTGAGTCATGTAAATTCAATGGTGATTGTCTGGTGAGGATCGGGTGAGTGGGGTCAGTTGAACGGTGAGCCTTTGTTCAGTGGTGATTCTGTCTGGTGAGTAATTGGTCAGGGTCGGGTGACTGGTGAATATATGGTGAGTCAAATACATTGTATATGTGTATTGCTTGTGAGTGCGCGGGCATACTTGTTTCAATACACATCTATAGTTGTGAGTGTGCGAGTGTGTTCAGGCTATACGGGGGATCATAGTCTTTGTTGCGTGTGGGGAGTGATAGTGCAGCGGTTGGCACGCTGTGCTACGAACCCGACGACTCGAGTTGCGATTCCAGCACACGGCCAACACCAGTGACGATTATCTAAACCGGTCCCGGGCGTCACCTATGTCGACTCAGCCTCAAATGAGTATCTGGTGCGGTCTGTAAACATCGCCAATGGGGAGATAACGGAAACTGGGCGTGGTGTTGGCCACACCCCCCCCCCCCTCGTGTGCCACAGTGCCGGCCTTCTTAGGTGCTCCTCGCTAACAGCACTTGCACCAACAGTCTGCTCAGGCTATACGGGGGATCTTTGTTGTCGGGAGTGGTAGTGCTTCAGTTAGCGCGATGTACTGCGAACCCGGCGAACCGAATTCGATTCCAGCTCATGGCCATCACCAGTGACGATTATCTAAACCATTCCTGGGCGTCCCGTAGGTTGACTCAGTCTCAAATGAGTACCTGGTGTGGTGTGTAAACATCGCCACAAAGGAAACAAAGGCGGCCGGGTGTGGTGCTGGCCTTCATAGGTCGCGGCCTTTATAGGTGCCACTCGCTAACAGCACTTGCCCCAAAAGTATGTTAGGCTCTACGGGGCGTCTTAGTCTTGTGTTTAAAAGACGTTGGCGGTCCATACAAAGATAATCGTCGCAGTAACACAAACCTGGTTTTGGGCTGAGGTAGGAGCCAATCACAGGTAAGGTAAACACACCATGGCAGCGTGACACACCTATGGCTCACATCAATGAGGTCCCTGGGTTCGATTCCCGACTCGGGCACTGTATGGCGTTTGTAAGTTGCTCCCGTGTTCGGCACGGGTTTCCTCCCAAACATCCCGATGCTGAAATAAATGTCTGCAAATTACTTAATTGGGATCACACACCGCAGCATTGTGACCCCAACTCCTGTGAAATCAGGTGACGCCAACTGAGCTATACAGCTCTTTTTCAGAAGCAACCTGGCCACACACGTGATATAATTTTTCACGTGGAAATTTACAGCAGCCAAATGCTCCAAATGCATGTTTCCCGGCCGAGAAAGTATAATAACGTCACGATAACTGCTGCAGACCACGTGTCAAATGTATCCATGTTATTCTACACCCATGGACAATTACAAAGGGGGCATCCGAACACACGTCCTTGACAATCGCCCGACGTGAAGTTAAGCTTCCCCGCTATTTATCGTACAACTCCCTGCCCCAGTCTCTGGGCAAAGGGCGTCGTATGCGGGCTCGTTGATACTCACCAGAACCGGAGGAACGCCCCCGTGCAATGCCAGACTGAGCAGCTGCTATCAGTCGATCGGGCTGCGCCAGAGACACTGCCAGTGATGCTGAAGTCAGCAGGAGGCCCTGAAGCAGCGCGTATTTCACGGCCTGCTGGCGAAAGGGGTTTGCGAAACAAAATAAGCAGACAATACGCCTTCTTCCCATCCCTCCATGGAAACAATACAACATTTGTTTTACGCATCCCATCAAGCCACACGACCCTCTGGGAGTGCGCAATTAAAAAAAATTGTTTCAAATGAAAGCAAAGTTCGGACCGGCTTCAACGTTTTGTGTCTCATCAAGCAGAGGGCAGACTTTGGTTGAACCAATGCTGGTAAACTGCCAGATGTTTTTTTTTTAACCGAGGACCAGAGAGAGTGGGTCCAGGGAATGAACCGCAAATACACACACACACACGTGGGAGAGGTTACACCACGCGACCTGTGGCGATGGAGGACTACCTGTTGGACAGGTAGGCTCACCACAGTTTGGAAGGCGGGTGGATTTAAGTAACGTGCTCCAATTTGATCAACGGCCCCATTACACCATGGCAGCATTGTCTGGGGATGATAGCTTTGAGCAGTGGTTCTTTTTAACTTGGGGTGCACGCACCCCTTGGGGTGCGAGATGCCCTTTCTGGGGTGCGAGACATGGCCAGATTGTTTTAGAAGTTAAATAATCGAAAACACAAATTAAGCACGGGCACGTAAGTAACAACTATTTAGTTTCTTCGAACCTATGTATTTATTAACATTTTATATACTGTATTGGTTTACGATTGAGAACCAAAGCGGTGCAAGGCTGCAGTAAAGGTTAAGAAGCACTGGCTTAAAATTTAAATGCCCAGATGACAAATCTGTTGAAAAATTACATTTCCCCCAAAAAATATTTTACGGTGTCTGCGAGTTTATATTTATATGTCATGCAAATATCTTTGTGCTAAATCTGGTTTTAATGCCTAAGGCGTACACTTATGTAGGGCCGGCCGAGTTGACCAAATCACATTGCAGGCAAACGTGCTTTTTGCTTATTTCAGGCGTGGCCAGGGCACGCTCATGATCAGATTGCGTAACGTAATCAACTGAGCCACTCACGGCAACATCGCTGAGAATCTAATTTGTCCGCATGAGCCACGCGGTGACCTTTTATACCGGCTTCCTTCGGACTGAATCTCGAATCATTAATCTTCCCCCACGACATGCGTTTTAAAACAAAACCCATAAACATTCGCCTAATTTGTGATTCGAAGTGGTCGCCGTGAGAGTTCCGGCTTGCGGTGGCAGAACAAATTGATGATAATTCGGAGCTCTTAGTCAATTCACCGCGCGTCACGTTCAGCGGTAGCCCTGATCTAACTTTGCAACACTGGTCAGTGTTGGCGAGGTCGGGCCTCGGGACAGGTTCACGTGTGGCTCACCGCTGACGTTGACCACGGCCGGGAATTAAACTCAGGTCCCCGGAGTTCCCGTGTGACCGTGGTGGCAAGCCACGGGGAGTGAAGAGGGTTGCTGGCGCAATGCGACGACCAGTCCAGGGGCAGTTGCCAAACGAATACATAATTTAGCCGAATTTATATATCATGAGGACGCACTCATTGCACACAAAGCACTTGCCAAAAATAAACCACAATGCTTTGCTGATCTCATCAAGGAGCAGAACCCATCACGTGAACCCCGGTCATCCTCGCAGTAACGGATTTTGTATAATCGTCGAACAAAGACGGTCACCGCATCGCGCACTTTCGGATGCGCTTCTGCGGCCGTCTCAAGCGCTCTTCCTTCCAATATTACGGTGCGAAAGAAGCTCACAATACATACACACACATACAAACCAGGCGTTCCACCAAATACAACATTGTAAAATATACAGTTGGTTTATTCAAGATGTGAGATTGCAAATGTTGGTTTGATTGACCATGGGACGAACGTTTTAAAAGTATCTTTTGTTTACCAATGTCAGCCATAATTGGGTGGGGAATGCTGGGTATTACCCACAGCATTTAATGGGACATATGAGTCTCTAGTTGGTGAATTGCACTCACAAACAATGGCCGAAAGTGAACGCAAACAGAATCCCTGTTCTGTTTCCACGTGTGAATAGAAATCTATAAAGTTCATCCAATTGATTGGCTTTCCAGACCCGATATTATCGAGCAGAATTTGTCTAATCAAATGCTGGACTCTGTGATGGAAAGGTTTGATGAAATTAAGAGAATGAAAAGAACAAATCAAAAGGAGGTTCCTGGAAAAAACTAAACTATTTACATTTTTACCAGGTAAGGCTCACTGAGCTGTATAGGTATTTTTTTAAAGCGACCTGCCCACAAATGATAGTCCAATTAAGCGGATTTTCACGTGTAAATTTACAGCAGCAAAATACTATAAATGCATGTTGATTCTAAATGTGGAGGGAAAACCCGGAGGACCCAGACAAAAATCTACACGACCACGGGGAAAGAGACATTCAAACTCCAAATATACGGGTTCCAACCCACGACCTCCTACATACCAGGAGAGGTAGTTAACATCTCCTAGCCACCGTGATGATAATGATGACAGAGATACACAGACTCCAAAACACAGCAGGCATCGTCAGGATCGGGATCGGGATCGAACCCACGACCTCCTCCATACCAGGCGAGGGAGATAGTAAACATCTGCTAGCCACCGTGACGCATGTAGACTTTGCCAAGCCGCTGATTCGTATGCAATGAGGAGGAGGTGGTGGTGGTGGTTGGGACGAGGCGTTTACAGGAGGAAGGATGGCAGGTGACCGAGGCAGGCCATGTACTGGCATCCAGAGGTCCGTGATCGATAGAGAGATCTACAAGCCAGACCTCCGATTATCACAGCTGGCCACGTACGGTGCGAAAGAAGTTCATCATGCACAGCGTATGCACATATAGCCAGACGGCGTTGTTACTGCAAAGGGAGAGCACTCAACGACTCCGTGATTTGGTGGAAGGAATGGAAGAATGGGAAGCTGTGGCGGTGGCAGTGGCGTGGCCCGTGATGACTTCGTGAACGTCTTACCGTGGCGTGCGACATCTCAGAGGTGTCACTTTCCCGTTGTCCTTCAACTCCCCTGTTTGATAAAGTCAAGCAACAGCATCATCATTTGTAATTTTACACGTACAGCTTTTTAAAATTTATTTTGCGATTAAAACTTACTAAAAATGTTTTAGTCCTACGACAATCAACTGATGGATGAGGGCTTTTCCATGCCACTTTGGTCATGGAGGGTTGTTTGACCATACTTCACCGTGCTGATTATTGCAGATTGGTGAGTAGAGGACTCAGTTATCACTCGCCACTGATGTTAACCATGGCCGGGAATTGAACTGAGGCGCCTGATTTGAAAATGGAGCGTGAGAACCGCTACACCACCCTTCCAAGTCTTTACTTTAAATTATAATTACCTGCAAATAATATTTGTAAAGGCCTGGGATTTTTGTTCCGAAGAGATAACAGTTGTGACTGTGTTTCCCCGATCTCAGCCTCCTATCAGATGCCTCGTAAGGGGTTTCTTCCTCTGCAGTGCAGCTCCTAAAGCCTGGGAAGCCCCCACCCGCACGACACCCCTCCCCCTCCTTGCTATCTGTGCATCAACGGAATAAAACCAGATATCTCCTCTCTCAAGATTGATTTCAATCGATCTTTGTTTTGGCCTAACTTCCCACTTACGTGTAACCTGTACATTATAATTCACAACGACTCTTGCCAGCGTGCGTCACAGCGGCTGCATAGAACAATGTGCGTTGAGCTTTTCCCCCGCCGTACTAGCCAACAGTGCTTATCGGAGGTGCTGAAGAGAAGGATAACACGTGCAATAATACGAAGCGGAATGACGTACTATCGACTCGTAATTTGCACGTTATATTCATTCGCTCACTCTCTATGAGAGACGATTACTGAGACAGACGCGAGGAGGAACCACAGGCGAGCGGGAAGGCTGCAGCCAGGCGTTGAGATGGCACCAAATTTCATCCCCTCCAAGATCTGCAGTCCTCTATATATTAAGGTGTTAGCGGCCAATTAATGCGTGTCTGGGCGAGGGGGCAACACTCGATCCTTAACAAATAAACAGGTGGAGTCCACGTCTGCCGTGCCGCCTTCTCCTGGCGAGCCAGGCTACGGGCTCCTCGATGTCCATGGGAGGTTTCGCAAAACCTGCGCGATCCACCAACCCTCGCCTCCACAATGGCATAGCCACTACCGCCCGGCATCATTAGGCGCGCGTTCACTGCAAAGACAACGCGCTCTGCACGCGAGCCATTCAAATAAGATAAATTTAAGAGGTGGTCGCGGCGTTGATTCGGCCCCTCAATTGGCATTTCTAAGGGTTATGATCAAGTCGGTACCACTCTGTTCGGAATCACCTATGGCCAAACCGGTCCCGTCATAGGAATGTCGAATTCACACCACTGGCTCCGCACCGCCGACTAAGGTGAGTGCCGCCCGAACGCTCGCTGGGAGCGTGGGGGGACGCTCGTTGGGGTGGTGGCCTCCGCGTTTAACCTCCGCCCGCTCTGCATTGGCTTTGGTGTCACACTCCACGCAAAATACATTGGAAGATTCTATTTTACAAACTACGACCTCGCTTTTGGGATTAATCACCCGTCAAAACATCCAGGCACAAGCGTTTGTAAACCTGTGCTTACAGACAAGGTACTAAAATAAAAGTAGCCTCAACATTTTTGGATATCTAAAATTTAACATTTCATTTTCCCAATGTTTATGGTTTCAAGTGTAGCCTTGACTACATCTGTATGGATTATAAACTGAAACTATTTTTTTTTATTTTACCCGGCGAGGCCTACTGAGCTGTATAGATCTTTTTTAGAAGCGACCTGGCCACAAATGATAACTCAACGAAGTGGCTTATCACGTGAAAATGTACAGCAGCCAAATACTCTAAACGCACGTCGATTCTAAAAGTAGAGGAAAAACTGCAGGACCCGGAGAAAAATCCACGCGGCCACAGTGAGAGAAACACGCCAACTCCAAATATACAGCAGGCGTCAGGTACGGGATTGAACCCATGACCTCCTGTATACTAGGTGAGGTAGTTAACATTTCGCCACCACGAAATGTTCCAAGCCCTTCCAGAATTTTTATTAGTCCACATGTTCTTTGCTACACCATTGATGGACTCGGCCTTGGGTAACCAATGACTGCATCAAAAACTATAATTTAGAATAGAAAGGTTTCCACATACTTTGGCTAAAGTCCAGCTCCGCCAATTAAAAGAAAAAAACGGTTGACATGCGATGAACAATCTTTGCAGAACAATATAAGGTGTGCCATCTGGCGTGGCTACGAATATACTGTATGTGCGTCGAGTAACGTCGGAAGCGTTTCTCTTCAGCGATCATCTGAGAAGCATCACCCTGCGACTTCCCGTAGTGCTTCGGCGCAGACGTCAAATTCCCAGCTCCGTGCAAATTGACGAAATGGAGGAGCTCGCTGATCCATAGCTTGGCCACGCAACCATCGAATTACATTAAAAAAAATAAAGTCGCAGACCTGCAATTGCGTGCTTCACAGCACTATTGGTGGAAGGCCCTCGACTTGAAGTACCTCGAAAGAGCCCCATCCAAAAGGTATTTGGCCTACTCTTCCATGGTGGCTATACATCTTGAAGGAGGTGGGCTGGGGGTACCCACACTTTACCCTACCACACCCGACTTGCCAATCAATTGTGGTGAACCCATTATATTTTGGTACCGCTGTGGCGAGATGTTAACTGCTTCGCCTGGTATACAGAAGGTCGTTGGTTCGATCCCAACCCTGACGCCTGCTGCATATTTGGAGTTTGCGTGTCTCACTCCCCGTGGTCGGGTGGATTTTATTCAGGTCTTTTGGGGTTTCCCCCTTACATTTAGAATTAACGTGCGTTTAGAGTATTGGGCTGCTATACATTTCCACGTGATAAGTCACTTTGTTGGGCTATCATTTGTGGCTACTTGGCTTTTGAAAAAAGAGCTATACAGCTCAGTGGGCCTTATTTGGTAAATAAAACAAATATATTTAGTAAAAAAATAGGTTTTACCCTTTCTGGCAATAAAACACGTGTTAAGATGTTCAAACACCAAATATATACCTTTTGCAAGGAATATATTTTTTTACTTTGATATTGGCAAATAAAGGTCCCAACAGTTTAGTTCGTAGGTTCGTTCACCCGCCTCGCCCGGGAGATCGCACCGGCCACCTTTTGGCAGATTTAAGTCCACGGCGCGCCGTTATCGGCTCTGCATCTACTCACCGGCGCACTCCGCTCAACTGCGGCCGTTGCCTTTAACGACGCCGCCGTCGAAGGTCCTGACCGGTGGCAGCAGCAAAGCTTGGGTGGCGTGGCGCGGGCGTGTTGTTATATATATAGGCGGCCTTCGCGTTTGTGTTGACACTCGCACGGCTCTGGGCACACACTCTAACACACGAGCGACTGCCAATTCATCATCATCGTCGTCATCATACAAGCGCGCGTTAATTAATGCGGACGCGTTAGAGAAATGTTATGTGTGTGTGTGCTCTCTCTCTCGCTGCCCGAGTGTCAGGTTCACGGCGCTGTTGGCAAAGAGCCCGGCGGCTTTTGTTTACTCCGCAGGACGAGCGGAGCCGGCGAGTCCCAGCGGCGGCAGTCGCCGCGTTCCACATCGCGCCCCCCGCCGCCGTCATCGCTGTTCACGGACAAAGGGGGCAGGTGCGGAGGATTCAGTTCACGGTCATCGCCTTTTGGGCCAGATTTATGTACTTCAAATATTGCTTCGAAAGGGACCCACTAAGTCCCGGTTATATTGAGGCAGCTGGTCAAACAGCCCGCGAGCGATCGGATGCTGGACCGCCCTGCCCTGCAGCGTGAAAGGAGCTAATAGCAGTAGTGTGGTCGCCGCCCATTAATTTCTTGAGTTGCCGAATCGCGCAAAGCTATGGCACCCCGTCGCATTATCTGCCTCTTCGTGTCCCTTGGCCTTGTGCGGGCACCCTTGGGACCTGGCAGCTTCCTTCACCGGCAGCTCGCCGCGGCGTTCTCCCCGCTTGTGTGGCCGACGCTGTGGCGTCTGACGTCCACTCAGGTCGACTTATTCCCCCTGCACCCTCGTAAGAAAAACTGAACCTCGAGACTGTATATCTTCTTCATCAGGTAAAGCCCACTGAGCTATATACAGCTCTTTTTCAGAAGCGACCTGGCCACAAATGGTAATTAAACGAAGTATGCATGTATGTGTATTACACTTCTTTCGCACCGTCCGTAGCCAACCGTGCTAATCAGAGGTGCGGGGGAATGACAACAAACTAAACACAAAGATCAGTTCTAAAGAAGTTAGTTTTCAATCTATAGCAGCCAACTACTGTGAAATGCATGTTGATTCTAAATGTGAAGGGAGAAACCGGAGGACCCAGAGAAAAATCCACGTGACCACGGGGAGAGAGACACGCAAACTCCAAATATCCAGGTGTCGGAGTGGGGATTGAACCCACAATCTCCTTGCATACCAGGCGAGTGAGATAACATCTCACCACCGCGGTGTCCCTCCATTCATCCTGCTTGCATGCCTGAATTATTTCAGTTTTATTGAAGCATTGAGTCGACTGGAAACGTCGCTTCTAGCCAGGACTTCCTGTTCTTTAATAATAAATGCAAGGTACTCACTGCAATGTTTTCATTTCGAAGGCAGTGATTCTCCTGTAGCGTCGATCGTACTTATGACTAGATGACATTGAATGCACCAAGCTAATAAGGGTTTCGCATTGGTTACGTATGCACATATGTTGAACTTCTTTCACATATTTGCATAGCCAACCGTGCTGTCGGAGGTGCGGGGGGGGGGGGGCGACCACAAACTAAACACAATATGAAAAATTAAAATAGTTTTTACCTTTTCGGGAAATAAAACGGGTATTAAGATGTTCAAAAACCAAATAGCAACCTTTTGCAAGGAATCAAGTCTGCATTAGCCTCACGTACTTGTGGTGAGCATGCGAAGGTAAATGCTCTGATATGTCTTTGAACATCTTAGCACCTGTTTTATTGCCAGAAATGGTAAAACTTATTCTTATTTTTCATACTTTGATACTGGCAAAAATGTCCTATCATAAACTAAACAGAAATGGGAGACTGCCTGGGAAAACTCAGAGCTACACAAACAATTAGTATTGACTGTACATGGCATCTGAATGCAGCACCAGCTGTTTCCGTATGGTTAATTGGGAGTGCTCGGAGATGTTAACTACCTCGCCTGGTATACAGGAGGACGTGGGTTCGAGCCGACGCCTGACGCTCACAGTATATTTGGAGTCTGCGTGTTCTCTTCGTCCTCCGGTTTTCCCCTCCACATTTAGAAACATGCATTTCGATTATTTGGCGGCTATACATTCCCACATGATAAGCCACTTTGTTGAGTTATCATTTGCGAAAGACAGGTTGCTTCTGAAAATAACTCTATAGCTCAGTGGGTCTTACCTGGAAAAATAAAAATGTCTAGTTTTTAGTTTAATTGATAGCGGTAAGGTCGTGTTTAGTGAGGTAAAGTGTGGGTACTAAGACCTCTTCCAATACTTCTGGCCAATGTAGAACTGGAGGCAAAATACCCTCTCTAGCGCTGCCCCTAGTGGAGGCCCTTCTGGCAGCAAGTGGCGTGAGCAAGCAATTGCAGGGCTGCTCCTTTACCTCGCGTGCACGTTCCGAGTGGTGGCTTCACTGAGCCCTGTCAATCAGCCACCCAAAGATAACCTGCAACCCAATGAAGGCAACATTTGTAGTGCTGTTTATGTTGACCTTAAGACCATGCGTGTTCAGTAACAGCTTTGTGTGCCTGTGACACTTGGACATTGAAAAAGACTGAAACAGGGGTAGGATGTTGGCACTCGAAATGTATCGCCACAGAAGGATGCCGCATCTAAGCTGGACCCCAAGAGTAACCAACGTAGAAGTGAAAAAAATGTTGCACGTTGAAGAAGACAGCCTGATGATGATGCCGGCAGTGATGAGAAGGAAACTGTCACTATTTGGACACTTACGTAGGATGGACAACAGGAAAATTTTAAGTGTGTTGTTGATCGAAAAAAATGAAAGGAACCGGAAAGAGAGGAAGACCTCAACAGAGAATGACTTGACGACATCATACAAGATTGGTGACAAAAAGATGTGGCCACTACTTGAGCCATATTGGCGCAGGACAGAGGACATTGGAAACAAATGTCAAAATGTGCAGTGGATACGTGTTAATTGCCCATGGATCGTGATGATGACGATGAACTGCACTATACACTACGCTATACACTACACTATTATATACTACTATACACTACACTACAGTACACTACACTACTATACCCAACATTATACACTAACTGCTTTGTATTGGTTTTCGTCTATGATATCTGCCGGGTACGACTACACCACGCAGCGCTCGCCCTCCCCCTACCCCACCCCTCCCTCTCCGCCCTTGCTCCTCCCCCTTTCTTACCTATATAACCTCTTACCACGGCAACTCTCTCTCCAACTTCAGCAAAAAAACAATTATTGCTGTGGTTTTCCCACCTGATGATGATTGCTTGTGTTGCAATCAAAACGTCGTGATTTCATTTATTGCATTTTATACCTATGTGACTTTACCGAAAGAACCAAAAAGTATATTATAATGTTTTTGTTATTTGAATTGATCTGTTTTCTGATTGTATCTCGGCATCAAGCCACAAGACGAAGAACCCATTTGGAAACTTTCACCGACCAATGCAATAATTTCATTTGCTCGAGAATGTCCCACAGAGCTCTCTCTGGAGGTGTTCTCCAGAGGCAGCTCTGCAGGAGCAGCGGGCTGCCTTTTCCCACCCGCGCTGCGACCGAGAGCAATGTTCGCGGCATGATGGTCAAGCCCAGTTCCACCGTCCCCGCTGTTTGTAGCCTCCGCGCCTGGGCCCCGCCTCCGACCAGCAGGTCACGGTGCAGTTGCATCGCCTGCACACTCGCTCGCTAAACCACTGGGACAAGTGCGTGGCCTATTGCTTGTACAGTCAATTGGAATATGCATTTAATATACCAAATTTCTACACAGCAAAGACACAGATCCCCCATGTAGCCCTAACATACTGTTAGGGCAAGTGCTGTTTGCAAGCACCTATGAAGGTTGGCACGACACATGAGGGGGTGGGTGGCCAGCACCACGCCCGGCCGCCTTTGTCTCCCCAGTGGCGATGTTTACAGACCGCACCAGGTAATCGGTTAAGGCTGAGTCGACCTCGGGGAGGCCGAGGACCGGTTCAGATATTCGTCACTGGTTTTGGCCGTGAGCGGGAATCAAACCCGGGTCGCCGGACTCGGGCCCCACACATGCAGAAGAAAAAATATATACAGCCACTCTCAATGCATACAGTGCCACTTTACTCACACTGTATTTTTACATTAAAGAAATATGCATCTGGGTCACCCCCATATATCATCCCAAAGATGCAGTAAAATGTAAATTCACATATACTATGTCCACCTATACACTGGCTCAGAGAGCCAAAACACCCCGAGTAAAATAATTGCATTCATATCTACGGTGTGACCTTTGGGGGTCATTCTGTCCATGTAATCTCTTAAGGGTTTACCGCAGAGGCTTAGCACCTGTGCGGTTACTGGAATATGAAGTGAACCGATTTCTGCAGCCCTGCACTCTTGCATATTCCTCCGCTTTTACAGCAACGCGATCTAGAGGAGCTACGTCGTCAATGGACAGCAGCACTGAGAGTAGCACTGTTAATATCCATATATATTTATACTAGCAGGATGTACCCGGCGATGCCCGGGCGAAAATACACATACACATCGACTTAGACACATACACAGACATCGACCCACACACACACACACATTGACTTCCACACACACGCAGATATGGACTCACACACACAGACATCCACTTTAGATACACACACATGGAGTTACACACACAAACCTACGTACACACATACAGCGACTCACACACACATACGTAGACTCTAACACACACATCGACCTAAGCACACATATGGACGTACACATACACATCCACTAAGAGACACACACATGGACTTACACACACACACGGACCCACGCACACACATCGACTTACACACACACACAACAACAACCGCCATTCGCCACTAAGTGGTGGTGATGCCACCACGACGCTTGTGCCAGGCTATGTGCACCTTGAGGCCACGTGAAGTGTCGAACGCCCGCTGGCAGGAGGTCACGGGGCAGACCCAGGTGCCACGGGTCGACTGACTGAGATGACCGAGATGACTGGTTGATGCACCACCTGTGCCCCCTACTGTGCCAACTTGCTGTGTTTTAGCCACCCGGCGCTCCGCCCGTTGTTGTGAGCATCGC